TTTGTTGAATTGTAAGTTCAACTTCAATAGAGAAGAGTGTGAGCCAAACAATTTCAAGTTAAACCAAACTAACAATGAACCATTAATGCTAACATTTATGTCAATTCAAAGTTTTTTCAATAGATTCAAGATATAAAGCAAACATATGAAAGACCTTCCAAATCCTCCACAGGACAGACAAATAGAACAAACAGATTGACAAATGGAGAGACTGAGATACAAAGAAATGACCTAGCCCCTGTTGCACAGAAAAACTTCTCGTCTCATTTCTCCAAGTCTTCGTCTATTCTGCGTCAGTTCATACATGTCAAATCAAAGCCAAGTAATAGATTCTACCAGTGGTACATTACTTGGGGTTTGCAACTACGGTGACATGATACCAAGATCATGTTTCAATCTCGCTTTTGCATAAGCGTTCCAACTCAGAAAAATGCAAATGCGCATGCCCGAGGTACAGGGATGTCTAGGTGGATCAAAATAGCTGCTCACGATATGATGGATTACGATAACTATATTTTCTGTACATTTTCGATGTATTACATTTTGTCACTAAGAATGTTTTATTGTTTTACCGCCTATGTCATGTCAGAAGGTTGTAGCATCAGTCTCGCTATCTACAAGATGAGACTTGAATGGGATCTTGACATGATGTCACCATACAGTACTATGTGTGATGCAAACCCCAAGTAATGTAACTCTGATGCTACTGTGTCTAAATGCATTGCACAAACTTTGGGGCACTCCAAGAGCAGCTGCTGCTTAGGTAAATGACTCCAACAAATCAACCATACCTTCACTCAAAACAAGAATAAGCCAGACGAATACAGGGAACATAGAACAAGCAAAAAAAAGAATAGAATACAGTATTCCCTCAAAAAAATAAAAAACACTATGGCCAATCAATGAAATTACCATTCTGCAGATGTCATACGCCATGTTAAATATGGCGACAGTGTTGATAAGCAGATAATATTTACCATTTGTATAAAAAGTTGAAGTTCTTTCTTCTTTCGGCTTTATTTTTCTTCTTTCGCAGAGAAGGCATCCTCACTTTGAACGATGATGAATGCTTGGGTGATCTGCTTAGACTGCCTTCTTCGACCTAGATAGTATAAATATTGAATCTGATTTAATTATTTACTCAGATCACCAGCCGAAGAGCTCAATTGCTAAGTATAGAATCTAAGCTATTACTAGAGAAGGCTAACATGACAGAAAGCGGCTAATTAGACTCAGAGACAAAAATGTTTCAAGTCTTCGCACGTGTGAGCTACTAAAGTGTTTGGCAGAATTTTAGAAAAATAGAAAAATTTAAAAACAACTAAAAAAGCATGTTTTTAGATAATTTTAACAAACATTAAAAAAATGCACAACTGAATCTATTTTGGAAAAGCAGTTTATGGGCTTTACAACTACAAATATGGTCGATGAGGAACACAATGCCAACAGCCAAGCAACTTTCAAAGGTTCATTACCTCGTCAGCTGACTGTGATGTTGGAGTTCCCATCGGTTGCATAGGTATGATTTCCTTTTCTTTCTTTTTTTCTGCTTCGTATTGCTTAAGCTGTTAGAAACAGAGCAAAAAAAGAAAAGCTCTAATTCAGTAAAAACAAAGTTAAAATTTAACCCTGCCATAGAGGGTGCTATCAACTTAGAGTCATAAGCATGTGAAAACAAAAGTATCAACTAAAAATGGTAAGAGGGCGCTCTATAAGAAAACAACATTTTGTTTCATCACACAGTTTTTTTAAAAAGAGTACTTTGGTGTGTTGCAAATTTCACAAGATTTTGCTTACTCTTGTAAGTGCCTGGTCCACTGTAAGTGCACGTTCTTTCACCAAATTCATTAGCGTTATTCGGTCATCATCACTCATTGTAATCTCACTAGCGTTGATTTCAGCTGAAAAAAACAAAAAAATGTGTTTTTGTTTTTTTAAATATGTACTACTCTATGAAAATGACCTAGTAACGTTGGTGTGCTACATGCACTGGCCAGTGTGTACTGCGGGTCAGAGCTGCAGTATTACGTCACGCTCTGCACAAGTGAGATACAATGTACATGTATAGCAATAGACATGAGGGGGGGGGCAGTAATAATTAATGTGGGACAGTCAATGCCTTCTTGTTATTCTATTTCTACCATGTGTACTGAGTTTCATTTGACTCATCGACACACACACATTTCAACAAACTAATATAATTTGACCTTGGAAGTATTCTACCTGTACTTTACACAGTAGAGACAACTGTTCTGAATAAACACCTGTAGCATCTCTAAAATGGCGTAAATAAAACAGCCTTTAACTTGCAAGCTGAATTGCTATGTTCAGACTGCAAGAATTCGTCTAACGTCTAATTTGTCCAAGTTTATTCACAGATTAACTTTCTCGCTCTCGTACACACTGGCATCGATTAAAGCGTACATCATCCCACGATATTTAAAGCCATTTTCATCCTGATATAAACTGCTGGGTGTCATTCGCACACCATTTGTTGTAATGATATACGAACTATATATCGATTGACTAGCCACTACAGATCTAAACCAATATAGCGACTCTGGAATCAATAAGATGCATCTACGCATGATTTCTTGAGCGACATGTCTGGATGTAACGGTCCTGTCTGAACATCACACATACAAGTCAAAATACAATTCTATTAGATCAGAATCAACTCTGGATAAAAGCAGCGTACATTATAGCTACTTGTTAACTGCACTACGATATATACGTATTCAGTGGGCAGATAATGGAGTATGGGAATGTATAACAATTGCCAAGGATTCAGTATTGTTCCTCTCTTTACTAAAATCTGAATAGATCTTGTTAATTGGTTTTCAGACATTACCTAATTACTATGCCTAGTCACACTCTGTGAGTTTGGGATATGTAGCAAGACTCAACTCACTATCATTTATTTTATCACTAAATTTTATGTTTTGAGCTTTTCATAGTTTTCCTTACAAAGGTGGACATCAGAAAAAGTACAGGGGGAGGGGAGGGGGATATCATGGGAAAAGCTGTAGATAGTGAGGACTTGAATCAGCAGGTGGGTGCTACATGTACTACCATTATGTTCAAGTTCCTAGCACCCTTGACTGAGCCCCTGGCTTGTTTGAACAATTCCATCACACTGAATACACCATAAAACTAGTGAACTATTTACGGCTCTCAATCCCAGGGGTTGCATCAGGGAAACAATCGCTTATATTATCTGCTCTGTCTTTTTGTTTTAATCCAGTAAACATGCAAACAACAACAAAATAAACAAACAAACAAACAAACAAACAAACAAACAAACAAACAAACAAACAAACAAACAAATAAATAAATAAATAAATACAAATGTTGGTGAAATATTTTGACACACAATATATTTTATTTTATTTGGTTATACTGTAGATACTTTATTTTTGCTCGCTATTTGCTATTTTTGCTGAAGGAATGATATAGTGAAAATAAAATCCAGCGAATATACCTTTTTTCCTATATTTTACACATTCAACTTGTCAAAAATCAGTGACAATAAATTCCATACAACACACCTAAAAAGTCTTTTCAGCAAAAATAAATTCCAGCTAAAATAAAGTATTTTACAGTATTCTGTTAAAAACTGTGAAACCTAGTCGTCCACTGTTCAGTGAAGCCTTACTGGTTGAGATCGTGTATTTTTTGTTTGTTTTACCACTGATCATACACGCGCCATCCCACAGCATGCAAAGTTCATGTAAACAAAAAATGTTCGCTACACACGTTGTATATGTCACATGGGACCCATATCAACACACCACGTGGTGTTAATAACACTTTCATTTTCAGGGTAGCAACAATGGACAGAGGAAAGAGAATCAAATTTAACCTACCTTCCGTCATTCTAGTTGGCTTGGATTTATTAGAGGATTTTCTTTCTTTCTTGAAAGACTTCTTAAGTAGTTTACCGATTCTGCCTTTCTTCTTTATTTCGCCGTCAGAGAAACGCTTTCTGTAACCAAGACACAGAGAATTGTGATCAAAATATTTGGTAACTCATGAAAATAAAGCATGCAATGTATTTTTTAGTTACGTGCTAGCTTTGTGTTTGTAACATAGTTTAATAGACTGCAACCTATAGTGATTGGGTAATTATGTCCGTTTGTTTCAAAATTAACAAAGAATTTGAAACAAAATGCACAAGAATGTACAAAATATTGCACTGAAATATGGTGGGAAAAATTAACTTGTTCAAAATGCTAAGAAAGTTAGGGACGACGTCAAAAGATCGATGTCGGATAAAAAACTTAATTCCTTTAGTTTTTTTCCAAACCCCCTTCAGAAACTTAGGACAAATAGCCAAATTTTTTGACTAAAATTTTTTCTGTTCGCTCCAAAATTGGGGTTTATTTCCAGAAATATTGAAAAATATAAGAAAAAAGAGCAGAAAAATTTGGGCGAGAAAGTCTGGTTGTGAAGCGCATATATACCAATTATTTTCAAGAGAGGTCTTCAAT